GGGGTGGGAACTGGAAGGAGGGGAGTTATGGGGGGAAAAAGAAGAACAAATGTAATAATCTGAACAATAAAGATTTAATTTTAAAAAAGAATAAAAATGGCAATAAATAAGTACCTATCAATAATAACCATAAGTGTAAATGTAAATATAAATGGCACATGCCTGGGTTGGGGCTCAATCCCCATTAGGGGGCGTGCAGCAGGCAGCATATCAATGGTTCTCTCTCATCATTGATGTTTCTATCTCTCTCTCCCTCTCTCCTCCTCTCTGCAATCAACAAAACTATATTTAAAAAGTCTTGAAAAAAGTAAATAGCTTAAATGCTCCAATCAAAAGACACAGGGTAAATGAATGGATTTAAAAACATGACCCATATATATGCTGCCTACAAGGGAATCACCTTAGCACAAAGGACTCACACAGAATGAAAGTTAAGAGATGGAAAAAAATTTCCAGGCAAATGGAAATGAAAAAAAAAAAGCTAGTGTAGCAATACTCATATCTGACAAAATAGACTTTCAAGAGAAGTCCATAACAAGAGATAGTGAAGGCCATGTCACAATACTAAAGGAATCGATAAAACAAGAGGATATAACTCTGGTAAACATATATGCACCCAATATAGGAGCATATAAATATATTAAAAAAAAACTTCTGGAGGATTTTAATGAAGAGATCAACAGAAATACAATCATAGTAGGGGAGTTTAATACCCCACTGACATCACTGGATAGATCTTCTAGACATAAATTCAACAAGGAAACAGCCATCCTAAATGACACACTAGATCAGATGGAATTAATTGATATTTTCAGAGCATTTCACCTCAAAGTTACAGAATATACATTCTTCTCAAGTCCACATGGGACATTTTCAAAGATAGACCACATGATAGGACACAAACTAAGTCTCTACAAGTTCAAGAAGACTGAAATTATATCAAGCATCTTCTCAGATTGCAATGGCATAAAATTAGAAATCAACTATAATAAAAACACTCAAAAACATTCAAACACATGTAGGCTAAATAGCATGTTATTAAACAATGAATGGGTTACCAATGAGATCAAAGAAGAAATAAAAAACACCCTAGAAGCAAATGAAAACAAAACTGAACAACCAAAAATCTATGGGACACAGGAAAAGCAGTCCTGAGAGGGAAGTTCACTGCATTACAGGCTTACCTAAAAAAAGAAAAACCAAGAAAAACTTTTAATAAGTTATCTAATCCTACAACTTAAAGAACTAGAAAGGGAGCAACAAGAAAATCCCAGAGTAAGTAGAAGGAAGGAAATAATAAAGATCAGAGCAGAAATAAATAACATAGAGAATATATATATATATCAATAAAACCAAGAGCTGATTCTTTGAAAAGAAAAGATTGATTTACTTCCTTGGTTAAGTTTCTTCCTAAGTATCTTTTTTGTTGTTGTTGCAATGATAAAAAGGATTGTTTTTTATTTTCTCTGAGAGTTCATTATTGATGTATAAAAATGCCATAGATTTCTGGGTGTTAATTTTGTATCCTGCTACATTGCCAAATTCATTTATTAAATCAAGTAGTTTTTTGATGGAGTCTTTAGGGTTTTTTATGTACAATATCATGTCATCTGCAAATAATGAGAGTTTTACTTCCTTCTTTTCAATTTGGAAGTCTTTTATTTTTTCTTCTTTTCTGATCACTATGGCTAGGACTCCCAGTACTATGTTGAACAAGAGTGGCGATAGTGGGCAGACTCATCAAGAAATAAAGAGAGAGGACCCAAATCAATAAAATCAGAAATGAAAGAGGTGAACTAACAACTGACCCTATAGAAATACAAAGGATTGTAAAAAAAATATTAGCAATGACTTTATTCCAACAAACTGGACAACCTGGATGAAATGGACATATTCCTAGAAATATACAATCTTCTCAAACTCAATCAGGAAGACTCAAAAACCTGAATAGGCCAATAACTACTGATGAAATTGAAGCAGTAATTTAAAAAAACCTTCCAGCAAACAAAAGCCCTGGTCCAGAAGGCTTCATAGGGGAGTTTTACAAAGCATTCAAAGAAAAATTAACACTTGACCTCCTCAAACTATTCCAAAAAATTCAAGAGGATGGAACACTTCCAAGCTCTTTTTATGAGGCCAGCATCATCCTAATCCCCAAACCAGATAATGATGCTACAAAGAAAGAGAATTACAGGCCAATATCCCTGATGAACATAGATGCTAAAATCCTCAACAAAATATTAGCAAATTAGATCAAGCAATAAATTAAAAAGATCATATACTATGACCAAGTGGGATTTATTCCAGGGATGCAAGGCTGGTACAATATTTGCAAATCAATAAATGTGATACATCACATAAACAAATTGAGAGACAAAAATCACATGATCATATCAATTGATGCAGAAAAATAATTCCACAAAATCCAACACCCTTTTTTATAAATACATTTTTTATTGAATTTTTTACAGAGAGGAAGGGAGAGGGATAGAGAGTTAGAAACATCAATGAGAGAGAAACAGATTAGCTGCCTCCTGCACAGTCCCTACTGGGTATGTGCCCGAAACCAAGGTACATGCCCTTGACCGGAATCGAACCCGGGACCCTTGAGTCTGCAGGCCGACGCTCTATCCACTGAGCCAAACTGGTTAGGGCCCAACACCCATTTTTTATAAAAACTCTCAGCAAAGTGGGAATAGAGAGATTATACCTCAACATAATAAAAGCCATACATGACAAACCTACAGCCAACATCATACTAAATGGGCAAAAACTAAAACCATTTCCCCTAAGAGCAGGAACAAGACAGAGATGCCCACTATCACCACTCTTGTTCAACATAGTACTGGGAGTCCTAGCCATAGTGATCAGACAAGAAGAAAAAATAAAAGGCATCAAGATTGGAAAGGAGGAAGTAAAATTCTTATTATTCACAGGTGACATGATATTGTACATAGAAAATCCTAAAGACTCCATCAAAAAACTACTTGATTTAATAAATGAATTTGGCAATGTAGCAGGATACAAAATTAACACCCAGAAATCTATGGCATTTTTATACACCAATAATGAACTCTCAGAGAAAATAAAAAACAATCCTTTTTATCATTGCAACAACAACAAAAAAGATACTTAGGAATAAACCTATCCAAGGAAGTAAAAGACCTGTACTTGGAAAACTACAGGATGTTGAAAAAAGAGATAGAGGAAGATATAAAACAAGTGGAAGAAAATAGTGTGTTAGAATCAACATCATTAAAATGTATACACTACCCAAAACAATCCATAGATTCAATGCAATCCCTATTAAAATACCAACAGCATATTTCACAGATTTAGAACAAACACTCCAAAAATTTATATGAAACCAAAAAAGACCCCAAATAGCCACAGCAATCTTGAGAAAGAAGAACAAAGTTGTAGGAATCACAATATGAGATATCAAGTTATACTACAAAGCAATGTACTCAAAACAGCCTAGTACTGCCTGGCCAGCGTTGCTCAGTGGTTGAACCAGGAGGTCACGATTCGGTTCCCGGTCAGGGCACACGCCTGGGTTGTGAGCTCAATCCCCAGTGTGGCGCTTGCAGGAGGTAGTCAATCATCTCTCTCATCATTGAATCTCTCCCTCTCTCTCTCCTCCTCTATGAAATCAATAAATATATATATTTTTAAAAGCCCAGTACTGGCACAAGAACAGGCATCTAGATCAATGGAACAGAATAGAGAACCCAGAAGTTGACCCAAGCCATTATGCTCAATTAATATTTGACAAAGGAGGCAAGAGCATACAATGGAATAAAGAAAGACTTCAATAAATGGTGTTGGGAAAATTGGACTGATATGTGCAAAAAAATGAAACTAGATCACCAACTTACAACACACACACACAAAACCTCAAAATGTATAAAATACTTAGATGTAAGTTGTTTAACAATAAAAATCCTACAAGAAACCATAGGCACCAAAATCTCAGACATCTCTCATAGTGATATGTTTATCAATACATCTCTAGGGCAAAGGAAACTAAGGAGAAAATATGAAAGTGAGACTACATCAAAATAAAGAGCTTCTGCACAGCAAAAGAAACCATCAACAAAATGAAAAGACAGCCTACTGCATGGGAGAACATATTTGCCAATTATTCATTCTATACAGGGTTAATTTCCAAAATATATACGGAACTCACGCAACTTAACAAAAGGAAGATAAACAATCCAATTAAAAAATGGGCAAAAGTCCTAAATTGATTCTGTATGTCCACTTTGGAGTATTACAGAAAGCTAAGAGACATATGAAAAAATGCTCAAAGTCACTAATCATCCAAGAGATGCAAATTAAAACAAGTATGAGGTATCACTTCATACATACCTGTCAGAATGGCTATCCTCCACAAATTAACAAACAGCCAGGTGTTGGTGAGGATGTGAAGAAAAGGGAACTCTAGTACACTGCTGGTGGGAATGCAAACTGGTGCAGCCACTGTGGAAAACAGTATGGAGTTTCCTCAAAAAATAAAAACTGGAACTTCCATTTGACCCTGTGATCCCACTTCTAGGAATATGTCCTAAGAATCCTGAAACACCAATCAGAAAGAATATATGCACCCCTGTGTTCATAGCAGTGCAATTTACCATAGCTAAGATTTAGAAACAGCCCAAGGGCCCATCAGCAGATGAGTGGATAAAAAATGTGTAGTACATTTACACAATGGAATACTACACAGCTCTAAAAAAGAAAGAACTCTTACATTTGCACCAGCACAGATGGGTCTGAAGAGTATTATGCTAAGCAAAATAAGCCGGTCAGAGAAAGATAAGTATCACATGATCTCACTCATATGTGGAATCTAATGATCAAAATAAACCGATGAGCAAAATAGATCGAGAGACATAGAAGCATGGAACAGACTGTAGAATTGCAGAGGAAAAGGGGAGGAGCATGTGTAGTTGGGAAGAGATCAACTAAAGAACTTGTATGCATATATGCATAACGCATGGACACAGACAATAGGGTGGTGAAAGCCTGGGGTGGGGGATAGGGGTGGGTTAGAAGGGGTCATATGTAATACTTTCAATAATAAAGATTAAAAAAAAAAATAAAGTTCTAAGTCTAAGCTGAAGAACACATTCTTTTCCAGAGAAGATTTGGAAAAAAAAAGGGTAACTTCGAAGGTTGACCTTGTTTTATAAACATTCTAATATAAAAAAAAGAAAACACACTAAATGCTTTTAAGAGGAATACTGCCATGTTGAATGTAGTATAAGGACAATAATTCTGAAAGAATGGGTTAAGAAAAGTAAATTTTGGGTGAAAGGCCAATGAAGTGAAGAGAGAAGGACTAGGGTGGTAGAGTGGGTGCAAAGTCAAGGGTTAGCTGGAACATAACTTTTAAAAAAATGTTTTTATTGATTTTAGAGAGAGAGGACGGGAGAGGGAGAGATAGAAACATCAATGAGAGAGAAACATTGATTGGCTACCTCCTGCACATCCCCTAGTGGGGATTGAGACTACAAGCCAAGCATGTGCCCCGATCGGGAATGGATCCAATGACCTCTTGGTGCATGGGTTGATGATCAACCAATTGAGCCACACCGATTGGGTGGGACAGAAGGTTTTTGTTTTTTTTCCTAGGGGGGTGGAGGGGATGACAACTTTTTAAAGGAAAAAAGAGCCTGTACATGGTGACTACACAGCCATCTTACCCTCAAACCCCTCACAGATGGCAGATTTCCAGGGGCCCATACCACCAACACCAAAACTATTCTGTGACCCACCCTGCCCACTTCCTTAGGAGACAGCTAGTTAACAGACGCTTAGGCGATGGTCCATTCTTTTTTGTTAATAATTAACATTGTTTTATTTCTTAAAGTATTTAGAGTAATAGAAAAAAATTAGAAAATTCGGAAAGCAGAGAAAACTGTTAAGTAATTTTTAACACATTGCTTCCCAGGACCATATTTTGAACAAGGCTGTTCAGAGACAAATTTATTTAGAGAAATGGTTCTAGGTGGTGAGCTACAGGGACCAGAGCAGGCCAAGGTTTTTGAGCTCCTCAGATAGCATCACTTTTCACCCTCCCCATAAAGCACTCTATCCCCTCGAGTCCTGTGGCTCCTCAGCCTCCTGTGACTGATGTCACTTGGTCACTGGTGCCCACAGAATCCTGGCCAAGGTTCCTGATTCCTTCCCCTCCACACACCCATGCAGAGCAAGCCTGTCTTCTTCTGGGCTTTGGTTATTATCTACTTGCTCAGGATTCCCCAGGCTGTTCAGTTCAGGTTGCCTGCTGAGCCCCACACCTTCATTTTAACTGCCTCTGCTCATTCCCACCCACTGGTTCAGCCATGCACAGTACATCCAACCCTCCCCTCTTCCAACTCACATCTGCCCTTTCAGACCTGCTGCTCCTCCTCCTGGTTCCTTGGCTCTGAGAACAGCACAGTAGCCATTCAGCTATCCAGGTCAAATCTGTATATCATCATTGACTTACCCTTTCTCCTTTCTACTCCCCCCTGCCCCACTAGTCAGTCATCTAGTTCATCCTTCCTAAAGTCAGTACTTCTCAAGGACATATGGTTCATTGCTGGACTATGAAAAGTACAGAAACCGAACCAAGGTAAATGTTTAGGAAATTTTATGGCAACATGAGTAATATAATATTTTAGAGCCTATTAATAAAAATGTAGGCTTTTATTTTGTTCTTAAATTCTATTTATCTGTAATCTATTTTTATTTTATTTTACAAAACAATATTGGTCCAGTCTGTCCAGCATGGCTCAATGGTTGAGTGTCATGCCTGAGTTGTGGGCTTAATCCTCAGTAGGGGGCGTGCAGGAGGCAGCTAATCAATGATTCTTTCTTTCTCTCTTCCTCTCCCTTCCTCTCTGAAATCCATAAAAATATATTTTAAAAAACTGAAAACAAAAACTATTGGTCCATAATGGACTGGGAGAAAAGCAGGTCCTTTATCATGAGTAGAAAAACACTGTCCTAAGCCTCTCATAGCCACTAGCCATGCTAGGTCCCATGGGTATCACCCACTGCCTCATGGTGTGCTCTCTGCCTTCAGCCTGGCTCCCCTCAAATCTGTTCTCTATAGCAAGGCCAAGTGAGCAAAAGGGCACCTCTGGGCTCCATTTTCAGCCTGCTATTTAAGCACTTCCCTGTCTTAAGTGTTTGCAATCCCTCCCCAACCTTAGTTAGGATAGTTTCCCAACTCCTCACCCTGGCCTGGCCCCTACATTCCTGCTGGCTGCATCTCCCAAATCACTCCTCCACCTCCTCTCCCTGCCAGGCACTCTGAACTTTCACTCCCGGGAACAGGGCAGTCTCTTGCATCTGAGCTTTGCACATACTGTGCTCTTGACTCTTTCCCCATCTCTATCTGATGAATTACAAATTGTTCTTTGGACTTTAGCTTCCTCTCAAGTCCCTCAGATGTTGTCTAGGAGCCCTTTCCTGTGACCCTCATTTAGCACTTAGATTTAGCTCTTCCCATGTTGTCTAACTGGCCTGTACCCCATCAAAATGATAAGTCACGTGAGAGGAGAGTCTCAGGACTGTATCCTGGAGTCCAGTACAGAGGCATTCAATACAAATGTTTGAATCAGCAAACTGGAGGGTGACACTGCATCCAACTTTGCAGTCAGTCTTATCCTGAGACAGACTTGCTCTTCAGCGGTCATAATTTCTCCACATTGTGAGGAGGCACGCAAGGCCAATGACCATCATCTCTCCCTTCCTCTAATAAGCAGAACAAGGAGAGCTCTCCAGGGATGAGTCCCTTACACGAGCAGTGCCAGGAAATACCTGCTTCCCGACTTAGATGTTGGCTGAGATGCCCGAGTTAGAGAGCCACCTCCTCTTGCCTACCACCTTCCTACTCAAAGCAGCAGAGGAGAGATAAGACCCTTTCCCGCTGATTGCTCTGACCTATTCCTCAACTGTTTATTTGCTAAAAGATAATTTCCTACCAATTCTAAGCTTGATACAGTCAGACAACACAAAAACTTACCTGTTTTCAGTAAGAACCTTCTGACTTTTCTGGATGCCAAGATATAGGCCAGGTTACTGCTGAGTTCTGGGAAGGGTTGCTTTACAATCCTTGTTTTATTTGTGGCCCTGCCTCTTCACACCCACAGCAGCCTTTTCACCTTCAAATAGGTTGGGTTTGAATGAAACCCCAAAGAGGTCTAGCCAGCCCTATCTTCCCAGGTGGCTGTTGACTTGGTTGCTGGTGTGCTGGCTGAGATTTGCTCAAGGCAGTGTGTGTGTGTAGCCTGAGGGGGTGGTGGTGGTGATGGGAGACTCACCACCCACTCAGAGACCTGGAGGTCAGGGAGGAGAACAAACAAGGGAAAATCAATGCAATGCAAACACTCTGCCAGATATTTAGTGCCAGAGGCTAATCTCTGCTTCTCAGACTCATGCACTTTTCTAACTGTAGGCGTCTGACTCCCGCAATAGAGGCATCTGGTTCCAGTAGCTTCAAGGCGCCCTCTCTTCAGGAACACAATTTTTGTTTGTTTGGCATGGATTTCTCAGGGGCCTGTGCTCAGCAGTGGGAGGGCTGCAAGTAGAATGTTACATCTGAGCTGTGAGCACAGCTCTGCATTTCAGCTCTAAGCTAGAGAGGTAAAATTGAAACCCAGCTTCTCTTTAGAGGCAAATTGTCTAATTTGGGGCAAAGGATAAGGCAGTACAGGGAGAATAAACCTGGCAAGCCATGTTGTATAGTAAAGGACCTTGTTGCCTGGCCAAGGATTTGGGAGAGAAACTTTGGTGTCAGAGACCCAGGTTCAAATTCCAGCTCCCAAGTTAATAATAATGATCTTACTTTAGGCAAGCTACTTAATTTAGTGTTTGTCTACATCACAAGGGGATTGACAAGGCAGGAGAGCAGAGTGGCTCATAGGCTTTGGGGTAAGACTGCTTTTGAGCTGATTTGAATTCATTTACCACTTACAATTTGTAACGTTAAACAAGTTACTTCTCTGTGCCTGCTTCCTTATATGTGAAATGAGACTTACACTTAGATGTAGAGCACTTAGTACAGTACTGGCACATAAATGGTGTTCACTAATTTTTCCCCCTCCCTTTCCTGTGGGCAATGGGAAGCTACTCTGGGATGGAGAGTAGGGACTTAGAGGGCACAGTTCAGGTTTATGGCAGCAAAGTGGTTTGGACAGGCCAGGGTTATTACAATAATCCAAGCAAGACATAAAACTGAGAACCTGCGTGCAGGAGGGAAGAGATATGATTTCTGTGAAGAATCAATAGGGCCTGGCAGCTGGTTGAACATGCAAGGACAATTACCGGGGATGAGACATGGATCAGCAGGAGCACTGATATTGGTACTGGGTGAGGAGAGGGGAGGGAAGACAAGTTTGGCTGTTGACATGATTTTAAAGCGGCAGCTTCGAAAGAGGGAATAGCAATGTGTACAAGAAAGGGTGCTAGAATGCTATCACCTCACACCAGCAAGGGTGACATAATAAAAAAAAAACAGAAAACATGCTGCTGAGGATGTGGAAAAACTGGAACACTGTGCATTGTTGATGGGAACGTACTACTGTGGAATGAATGGTACAGTGGCATGGCAGTTCCTAAAAAAAAAAAAAAAAAATTAAAAATAGGATTACATTACAATCCAGCAACTCCACTTTAGGGCATATACCCAGAACTGAAAGCAGGGTCTTACACAGACATTTGTACACCATATTCATTAACATTATTGAAGATAGCCCAAAGAGGGAAACAACCCAAATGTTCATTGATTGATCAAAAGATAAATTAAAGGTATATTCAGCCTCAAGGAGTAAGGATATTCATCGACCCATGAACCAGGAAGTCACAGTTTGATTCCCGGTCAGGACACATGCCTGGGCTGTGGGCTTGATCGCTAGTGGGGGGTGTGCGGGAGGCAGCCACTCAATGATTCTCATAATTGATGTTTCTATCTCTCTCTCTGAAATCAATAAAAAATATTTTTTTAAAAAGGGATATTCTGATACACACTACAACATGGAGAAACCTTGACAACATTATGCTAAGTGAAATAAGCCAGTCACAGAAGGATAAATATTTTATGATTCCACTCAATCTGGGGATTTTCCAGCTGCCTTCTTGGCTAGCATTTCAGAGTCCATTATACACTAAAGGTTTAGCTAAATTTAGTCTGAGCCTTGGTAACAGAGAGGGGACTACAATATATGCACAGATGTCCTCCTTTAAAAACACCCACGGGAAAATCATGATGCCAGGGAAACATCTGCTGACCCATTTATAGAAAACCCAGTGAGGGAGGGGACAGTGAAGGCGATTAATAGACTGGACACTCAGGAGGAAAGGTCCAATGGCATTCCTTCCAAAGGCAACTCTTGCCTAACAGTTTAATGAGATAGGTCATTCACCTATCTAGGAAGATTTCAGGGTGAAGGTTGGCTTCCAAATGGTACCAAGTTTTGAAACAGTTGACCAGTGGAAAATACTTTGTTTTGGTCCTGAGCAGATATTTCTGGCAATACCCAGGCACTCTGCTAAGAGCTAAATTCCTATTAAAAGTAAAGTCAAACCCTACTATTAGCTAAAACTGTCAAAATTTAGCTTTTGATAAGGAATTCATGTTGCAGAAGAGGTTTCAGTTGGGAACCCAAGTTAGAAATCAACTTTACATAAATTTTAAGGGTGTGATACTATTATGCAGAGAGAGGAATTGATGCTGACCATGCCAGTGTCAACATAGCAAAGAAAGCCAGGCCAAAGCAGTGCCCCACCTACCTTGCCCCATCAGGAGAAAAGAGGGACAGAGTCAAGTGAGATAAACAATCTGACCATTACCATTTCAAATCTGGGGTTTACTAATGATTTTTTACTTTAAATTTTCTCTTGCTTTGAAAATTATATGGCAGTACAACTACAAAACTAGGAAATGAGATAGACATAATATTTTATAGGAAACACTAGAGGCCCGGTGCATGAAATTTGTGCACAGGGTGGTGTGTGTGTGTGTGTGTGTGTGTGTCCCTCAGCCCAGCCTGCACCCTCTCCAATCTGGGTCCCCTCGAGGGATGTCCGACTGCCCTTTTGCCCTTTTTGGGATTGGGCCTAAACGGGCAGTCGGACATCCCTCTCACAATCCAGGACTGCTGGCTCCCAACTGCTCATCTGCCTGCCTGCCTGATTGCCCCTAATCGCTTCTGCCTGCCAGCCTGATCACCCCCTAACCACTCCCCTGCCATCCTGATTGACACCTAACTGATCCCCTGCCAGCCCGATTGCCCCCAACTGCCCTCCCCTGCAGGCCTGGGTCCCTCCCACTGTCCTTCCCCGCAGGCCTGGTCCTTCCCAACTGCCCTGATCACCCACAACTGCCCTCCCCTGCTGGCCATCTTGTGTCCACATGGGGGTGGCCATCTTGTGTGTTGGAGTGATGGTCAATTTGCATATTATCTCTATTATATAGGGCTAGTGGCCTGGTGCACAAAAATTTGTGCGCTCGGGGGTGGGGGAGTGTCCCTCAGCCCGGTCTGCACCCTCTCCAGTCTGGGACCCCTGGAAGGATGTCCTACAGCTGGTTTACAGGGATCGGGCCTAAACTGGCAGTCGGACATCCCTCTCACAATCTGGGACTGCTGGCTCCTAACCATTCACCTGCCTGCCTGCCTGATTGCCCCTAACCACTCTGCCTGCCAGCCTACTTGCCCCCAAATGCCCCCCCTCCCGCCAGCCTGATCACCCCCAACTGTCCCCTGTACCAGTGTGCTCACCCCAACTACCCTCCCTGCCGGCCTGCTCGCCCCTAACTGGCCTCCCCTGCTGGCCTGCTTGCCCCCAACTGCCCCCCTGCTGGCCTGCTCACCCCAAATAGCTCCATCTTCTATTCCATTTGTGTCCTTTCCACCCCTAAGTTAATGTCGTGTCCTTAATATGTGGTTATGAGATGGCTCTGTGACTGAGCTGGGAAACCTTTCACGTTTCTCTTTCCTTTCCTTTCATCTCAGGATAACTGAGCTCTGCGGTTTGTGTGGGACCAAAGGCCCTGGGAATACAATGCTGAGCCCTCTGAACTCATTTTATTCTTTATTGTATTATTTGATTCCTGGGGCTGAATTAAACATGA